CCCCCCGATGTTTTCCAGACAGCATTTGGTCTCATCCGCATGACAGCAGTGGTGGTGCCTTTCCTGTATGTGGGAACTCTGATCAGCAAGAACTTTGCCGCTCTCTTGGAGGAGCATGACATCTTTGTCCCTGAGGACGACGACGACGATGACTGAGCCCACTTCAGAAAGCAAATGGTAAAGTCAAGTGTACTTTAGCTGCACCTTATTTACCATTTCAACAATCGTATCCATGTGTAAAGGTTGTAGAAAGCTGATGACAGTTAATTTACTTTTTAAATTCACATCCACAGGGTGCTTTGCAATATTGAGTGAGAGCACACCAGCCGGCACAAGGAAGTTGGGGAAGATGGGGCACTTTGACATCCAAATACATCCCTCCACCTCCACCCATCTCCTCCCTCCTCCCTCTGCTGTTTATCTTGTTTTTGCTAAATTCACTCTGTATCACTCTCATATCATGTGAGGCTATCAAAACGACTAGTTATGCCTTCACTCTTGTTTGCATGTCTGTCTGAGAACTCAATAAAGGGAGTCGATTACACATGGATGAACACTTGTTATTATTTGGTCTTTGCACAGTGGAATTCTTCTCATTCTGACTCTTCTAAGTCACAACGGCACACATTGTTATTGTAATGTCATGATTTTGCTGTTGTATTTGGTGAATATTTCTATGTTGGCTTGCCGTCGTCCTTACTCAAGGTAAGTATTTTTTTCTTGTTTTTCTTGTTGGTCCTCATTGGTCAGGTCTGCCTCGCTCCCTCCTGCAGAGCAGCGTTGGCCAGTCTCAAGTGTTCGTTGAGGGAGCCCGTCTCCAGCTGGCTGCGAACCCTCGCGTCACTCAGCTCCACGTACGCCGCTGCTTTCTCCTGGAGAAGAGTGGAGGAACAAGTGTGGTAGACGCATCAGTTGACATTAAAGTTGTAAAGAGTGAGAGGTCTGATCATGAAACGTACCTTTGTAAGAGACTGCACTTCGTTCTGTAGACAGCTGATTTCCTTTTTAAGATACTGCACCTCGTTGTCTTTCGCTCTTAGTAATGTCTGAAAGACACAATGTGGCATCTTAATATTACCAGTTAAAACGCTGTACAACATATGCACAGCACTACAAGTACAACTTTGAGGTACTTTACTTGAGTGCTGCCCTTTCATGTGACTTTATACTCCAGTGCATTTGAGATTGAACGCTGGTGTTTTTTTACGTGACCACATGCATTTGACAGCTACTGTATAGTTACTATGTTTAAGATTTTACATACAAGACATATGATTATCTTACAAAATATGATGCATTAAAATGCTACTTGCACATTTATGCATCAGTAACAACAATCCAATACTACAATAAATAAAAATGACAGGGTCCATTTGTCTGCATTACAAAAACTTCTACTTTCTCTACTTGTTGTCGATAATACTCTGAATGCAGGACTTTTACTTGTCATGGAGTATTTTTATGTAAGTAAAAGGTCTGCTGTCCTGCCATGAGCCATGCTGGATTGGTATCCAGGCAGTAGATGGCAGTATGAGCTGTACTACAATGTGACCGAGCACAGATGCTCAACACAAACGAGGCCACCAAAAAAAAAGAAAAGAAACTGGTGACAATGTGTCTACAGGGAGCCATTACATTGGTACACGACAAAATCAATTTGTTTTTATCAAAGTGGGCTGAAAATCCCACAGCTCATTGATCAAATGCTGACGGTGATGTCCACGGTTGTCCTTCAGGCCTAAATGAGTCCTTCAGGTGCGACGAATGAAACTGGGTTGGGATGCAGTAAGTTAAGATTTTTAATAAGCATCACCTGCTTTCACATGAGAGGAGATGACGCAGGATCTAATTTAGTCTCCAGCGTTAAATTGGTACCTCTAATTCAGACGCAGTGCGCTCAGCGTTGCCAAGAGATGCCGTGTCCGACCTCTGACCTGTGATGAAATAGCGCATGCGGCTGATCTCTTCCGCCAGTTTGGCCTTCAGCTCCTGAAAGAGAGATGTTGGGCTCAAATGATGTCATGGAGAAGTAATGTGAACTATATATGCTTATGAATGTTACAGCTTCCATATTAGTTTAACCCCACGAGAATACCCAAAACACAATCTCTAAGGCAGTGGGACACTGCGTAAAAACAAACTCAAAACGTATGTAAACCTGGTTCTCTCTTCTGAGCTGCTCCAGCTCTCTCTCCTTGAGGTCGAGCTCAGCCTCTCGGTCCCGGCCGCTCTGCTCGGTGCGGCGCAGCTCCAGGCACTTCTGGGAGTAGCGCTCGGACAGCGCATCTAATTCGCCGAGCGAGACGTCCGCCTGTGGCCTGACACGCGTAAACACACGAGATGTGGAGTGAATCATAATAATGCACTGTCATGCAAGAAGGAGGGTAGGGGGTGGTCACAGTCAAGTGCAGAACATCTGAACCCTGCAGCGAGAGCCTGTGAGATGGAGAGCTGGATTATAAACCTACATGTGGCCTCTGCGTGAAGCGTCCGCGTGTGCAGCTCCTCCGGCCAGCCTCCTGGCCTTCTCCACCTCCCTCTCCAGCTCCTCTCTGTGAGCTGCTCTCAGTAACTCCACAGCTGTGATGAGCAATCAGTTTGTTTGTTAATTCGGTTGCAAGATTTATTTAACCAGAGATACTGTCGTGCTTCCCGTCTTACCTTCAGCGGCTCCTCCTGGCTCCTCCTGCAGCATCCTGTCTCTCTGCTCCTGCAGCTCCCCGATCTCCCTCGCGTGCATCTCCTGCAGCTCCAGCAGAGCTTTGCGATGGGCCACTTCCATGGCTTCTAGCCGGGCCCTACAGGGGGCCCTGGGGCCACACGCGCTGTCCACCTCTACCCCCATGGCTGCTCGCTCCCTTTTGATGCTCTCCACTTGGTTTCGAAGAGAGAGGGCCTGGGAGATGGAGAGGAGGGAAAATATTGATATGGATATTAACATAATTGTCTCGCATTGAAAACACTTTAAAGGAATGTCTTACTAGTGTTCCTGCTCATTACTTTAAAAGACACTTTTTTTTTAATGGAGTGCCTTTAAGCTCTTTCTTACCTCCTTTTGTAGAGCTTCCGCTTTATTTGTTTGAATAGTTTGAGCTCCATTCATGGATGGGCTGGATGCATCAGTTTGTGATCCGGTGGCAGGCTGTTCGGCCTCTTCAGGACTCGATTCATACGTCTGGGCTCCAATGAGAGACTGCGCGCTCATTTCCCTAAATGACAACGTCTCAAATTCTACCCACTTCCTGCTGACGTCTGAGTCCATGGTCTCAGTGATGGGCACGGGTACACTCCCCCTCTTCAGCTCCATGGAGTCCCACCTGCTGCCCATCTCACTGAAGGAGACCCCTTCCTCAAACCACTTGTTCCTCTCCTCCAATCGCTTGGCTTGCTCGTGGTCCCAGCCCTCCCCCTCTTCTCTCTGACTGGACGGAGACAAGTCCAGATCCCGGTCTACGGTTTGGTCGTGGTGGTGGTGGTCGGCCTGATGGGGGTTTGCAGCTGTGGCGCTGGAGGTGGAAGCGGTAGCTTCATAGCCGGAGTCCTTGCAGGTGAACCGAGCAGGGGGTTGGCATGACGACGGTCTCCGGGAGAGGGGGTTCTCTTTCTCGCTGCCGGTGTCCAATTGGCCGAGGTCGCAGTGAGGGAAAGACAGGAGGGTAGTGTTACACATCAGAAGAAAGATGATAGAGAGGGTTCGCCACAGGCAGACCAGCCAATCACATTGTCTGCATTTCCTCACAGTGTTCAGGAACGTTCATGTCACTGGAATGCCTGGAATAATATAATGAAGGATGTCTTGTTCTGTAATTTGTACATGACTAATTATGATTAATTAGTAATAAATTATGATATATATTATAATTTTGTAAGCATTTTCAGCCGAAGTAGAAGTTTTACACTCGAAGTATTTCACTTGTGATCAAAAGCTCCGGAATAATAACTTAAAGTGAGTTAAAGTTTACTTAAAGTTTACTGTGTATCGAGTAATACATTTGCATTTTTGACATAATGTTTCCTTGCAGTATTGGACAATGTTTGTCAGCTATGGATTGGTCACAGCCTTTAACTCTTGTGTCTCTACTCTTTGTAATGTTTATTTAGAATTCATTTTTTCTTTATATGACTATATTCGGTGTCTATCTTTGCGTGGGATTGTCGTGTTTTTATATTTCTGTGGCTGCAAACAATTAAAGTAAATGTAACTCAATTAAATGCAGTACTGTACTGGAATGTTGGCCGTGCCACGGATGTTCAGTCATTTTACTGGGCTTTGCTTCTTTGAAATGTTATTTTCAACATCTTATTCCTGATTGTAGTGCACAGTAGCCTCTTTGCAGGAGTTGATTGTATCTAAGTACTTTTCTAAGTACTGTCTTTAAGTGCAAGTGACACTTGTACTTTGCTTGAGTATTTACTGCCACTTCATACTTCTAGTGGGCTACAATATAGACGGATATTGTACAGTGGAGGAAAATGTGTATGATGCAATGTTATTAAACTACACGATAATATTCTTAAAGGCATCAGCAATAATAATTTGATGTATAAAAATTTAACATTTATCTGGATTGAGTACTTTGCATTTCTATACTTTAGGTCTATTTCGCTAATAACACCAATTTGCTTTTACTTAAGTAACAATTTCTCTGCAGGTGGTGTTGCTGCTTGAGTAAAGCTTCTCAATATTTCCTCCACCACTATCTCCCAGAATAAAGTGGGACTCACTGCGCTTTGTTCTGGATCGCCTGCTTTAGTAACTTCACCCAGTTCCGACGTATTCTGGAGGTCATAACGGAGAGAGTGAACACTGCTCTCTTTGTCTGGAGGAGATCAAAAGACACACAGACACACACACACACACACACACACACACACACACACACACACACACA